TTAAGCATTTACTATCAATGTTGCTATTTCAAATTTAGATTTTTCTCTAATAGTAAAATTGAAATAACAAATGTAGAACTGCCGTATGCAATACATTTCCAAATCTCTTAGTTTTATGCCCGCTAGTTAATGATTTACAGTTTAATACTTTGAAAATGGGTGTATTGGCAATTTATATTTTTCACCTTTGTGTGGCAACAGGGTGGTCACAATTGCTAGTCTGGCCTCCAGCAGTTCATCATGACCAGTGCCTAGTGACTTCAAACTTCCCTCCTTTAAATATTGTTCTGCAAACTAACAGCATTTAAAGGTTACCATTTGATTGATTTAGAAAAATCTGTGTCTGTGTTCCTTGTACTTTCAAAATCAAGACCCAGAAACTGCTGGAATCCTTGTGATTTAAATGTGGCAGACTGCTTACTCTCCATTTCCTCTGGCTGGCCTTTTTTGCTTTCAGAAAGTTTCTGTGCAGTTGCAGAAATACTTACTTTAGGGGCATTGTAGCCAACAGAAAAAGTGCTTAAGAACAGATTGATTATTAATTAATTCACATCACCTCCAGTTTCGGAGAAGTCTCCTTTCACAAGCGTTTTCCCGGCCCTTGGGGTTTATCACAACAATATTTCTGTGGTCTGACCTGACAACCTATTGGAAACCAGAAGTACATACTGTTACGGATTTGGCGAGTTGTGAGATGAAAGATTTAAAGGGATTTATTTAGGTGTGACGCTATATATATATTTATATATATGTGTGTTTGAGGGGGAGATGGAGACATCCAAGATACACATAAATATAATAAAACAAGTTGGATTCATGTAGTATTAGAAATAAAGTTAACATACCACTAAGAGCCAGTGACCTCCCACATTTACAGGGCAAATGCAAAAGGAGGCCTCTGGTCGCGCCATCTTTTGAAATGACAGAAAACACCCTTAAGCTTAGCTCTTGTTCATATGGTGTAAGATATCATAGCAAATAATTACCTCAAGAACAGCCCGATATGGCCCACGGTGAAAGATTGATGATGCCACAACAGCATCCATTCTCTCTACTGGTATCGGAAATAAAAAATAATATAATCTTTACAAGAGAAATGGATAAAAGATTTCCTAAAGAGAATCTTTATACCTTGCTCTTCTCAAGGAGAAGATACAAATATGCATCTATGACCTGTTAAAACAAACAAAAACAAAAAAATGTAAATTATTTTGACTGACTGCACTGGAGAAATCCAAACTTCAAAGAGCAAGTGGTCTTACCTCATCTGACAGCCAGCCATGTCCACAGAGTGTTCGGAGAGATGTGTCATACAAGTTGTATGGCCCAACCAGTGCCTCCATTTACCCAGAGTCTTTTAAAGACCAAAGTGTGAGTACTATAATAAAAACAAACATTGTTAATCCTTATACATGTTAATAGTAATACCTTATATGTGTGAAAAAAACCCAACTCCATTTCTGAAGAAAAATGAGAACACATGCAGACAAGACCAGGAACAGGTCATTTCACAAACATTTAGTTGATTCCTCTGCCCGGAGGCAGAGGATTGAGCACGGGTTACCCTAACCCAGGGGTCGGCAACCAATGGCTCCGGAGCCACGTGTGGCTCTTTCATCCTTCTGTTGTGGCTCCCAGTGACTTTGGGAAATAGAATATTTTATTAAAATTAAATCATTAAAAAATTATAAATTAAAATAATTTTAAAATAAATGTCTAAATCTGAAGATTATGGTAAACTTGTAACATTAAAACAAAAAGTTTTGAACATTTTTAGCACCCAAAATATACGTCATGTCCGCCGATGTGCGACAGGCATTCCTGTCTGACAGACCGCATTTTTTAGCTCACTGATTTATTGACTTTTTGACCCTCGCCTGGAAGAAACATTATGAATAAATCTAAGAAAAGGAAACATCCTGAAGATGGCAGAACATTTAATGCTACGTGGACAGATCATTTTGCTTTCACCGCTGATGAAACTGGTTCACCAGTCTGCTTAATATGTGGCGAAAGACTGGCAAACAACAAGAAGTCAAATGTTGAAAGACATTTCGAGAACAAACACTCTGTCTTTGCTAAAAGATATCCCGAGGGAGAGGAGAGAAAAAAGGCTGTTTCGGAGCTGATGCGGAAGGCTGAAGCGAGCAGGAGTCACTTCAAGAAGTGGATTAAGACCGCAAATTCCACTACATGTGCCAGTTTCGTGGCTACTCAGGAAATAATCAAGCATGGTAAGCCATTTACAGATGGAGATTATCTCAAAGAAACATTTGTTAAGATTTCAGAACATCTTTTCTCGGACCTCAGAAACAAAGATGAAATTTTGCAGAAAATAAAAGACATGCCTCTCTCTGCCAAAACTGTCCAAGACAGAACTGTGAAGATGGCAGAAAACGTCACCAGACAGCAGATTGAAGATATCAATTCAGCTTTGGCCTACGCAATCGCCTGTGATGCGTCAAAAGACAAAAATGACATTGAACAAATAGCGTTGTTCTGCCGATACGTGAGCGCTACTGGGCCACAGGAAGAAATGATTGATTTAATACCGCTAAAAGGCCAAACACGGGGGGAGGATATATGTGAGGCTGTATTGGACTGTTTGAGAAATAAAGAAATAAAGACCACCCACCTGGTGTCAGTAGCTACTGATGGGGCACCGTGCATGACAGGAGCGCAGAAGGGCTTTGTAACTTTACTCCAGAAGTCATTGGATAGAAAATTGCTGACTTTCCATTGTATCTTGCATCAGGAAGCACTGTGTGCGCAAACATTTCCTCCGGAATGCACAGAAGTAATGGATGTTGTCATTCAGATTGTCAACAAAATAATGGCAAAAGGTTTAAATCACCGTCAGTTTCGCTCATTACTAGATGAGATGGACACCAAGTACTCTGATCTCCTGCTGCATAACAAAGTCCGGTGGCTGTCCAGAGGAGAAGTGCTGAAACGCTTTGCAGCGTGTCTGGAAGATGTGAAAACTTTCCTCAGCAGCAAAGGGCTCACCTTTCCTGAGCTGGAACAGCCAGAGTGGCTGGAAAAGCTACACTTTATGGTCGATATGACAGCGCACCTGAACACATTGAACACATCTCTTCAGGGGAAAGGAGGCACAGCTCTGCACCTG